GGTTTTATTTGGTGGAACGGTTACGTTTTTTGTCGATTCGATAATTGGTTAAAAAGTGATACATATCGTGACACAGTGAATGAAGCTTTATCCGGAAAGAATACGAGATTTCAAGGAATATTCATATGTTTCTGATGGAGTTTGATGGCACCGAAGAATTGAATTCCGAGGATGGTGCGAAGAAAATAATATTAAATTATGCGAATGGCCTGATTATAGGCCAGATTTCAATATCCTATTCGTATTGGAACGTGTGCCATCGTGTACGCTTATTATAAACGATGGTTGAATACGAAGATCGTTTTTTGATGTATTTCGTAGTATACGATCATTTATGATCGTGTCTTTTCAACCAGAACATATTAAAAATAGTAGATATGCTATATATTTTGTTTCTGCTTGGTTGATCTGCCGTTAGAAATGCCGTCCATACCCACATTCATAATATTCTTCCAGGTCTTACTTTAATATCCTGTGTTCAACAAGAAAAGCAATAATGTCACTGATGAAAAACACATTATTGAAGATGAAGAAAATTTCTTAGATAGTTTTTTTTTTCTCTTGTAATTTATGTTCAAACATTCTAATGTGGATATGTCGGAATTTTTCCATGGCCAAGTTTTGATCATAAGGTTATTACGATTGTTTATGCGATATTAATATAATAAATATGACTGAATGTTTTTCGTATTAGTCAATGTCATCACCAGAATAAACGATGTCAAAACAAGATTGTATTCAATTAAGTCAACCACAAAGCAAGTTAATTTTTTATATCAGTAAGTTGCTACGTATTTTTTCTTAGAGCTTTGTTCATTCGCGCTATTCATTTTATCTGAATATCGTTATCTTTAAACTGATCGCGATAATTTTTTTTTTCATATTTCAACATCAGTCGTTAAGCAATTCATTTTCTTATACTTATTAATAATAATATTGTCTATCATTTGAATGTAACTCACAAAGTTTCATTCTTAATTGGGGTATTAAAAATATTACAACGTCTGGAGGTATGAAGGAAATTGTTAATAGAAAATAGAATCGAGAATTTATTGAAGTCTCTAAGAAAAGTAGTAGAATACTGCCGGTTGAAATTTATTACGAAAAAGAATGTCTTGAAAAGAAATTCATAATTAGTAATAATGCAAGTCATATAATTGAAGAATATTTATTTTGCAGAAAATATTTCATTGAGACGAATATTAACTAATGAAAGAAGCCCTGAGCCTTCACAAGACTTGTCTAAAAAAGAACATCTTAACACAAAATTGATACAATGTTCCTAAATTTCACCATGTCATAAGTAGTTTTTCACAGAATAAAAATTGAATATTCGTTAAAAGATCTCAGAAATATACTAGAGAAGTAACACCAATGTATTCGTATATGACGATGCATCAGATTAGACAGTTATTTTCTCTTATGTTGTTAAACATATTGATAAACGAACAAACAGAAAGTGACTTATGATTAGATTTTGAAATTCAATATCATGAATAATTTTACATGAAATTTAATTAAACAAATAGGAGAATACCCAAATATAGATCAAAAAATTATTGCAAGTCATGACTTTAGTGTTTTTTCATGTGAGATAATCTTTCTTAACCGAAATAACTCAGAAAAAGAACCGTATTAATTCTTTTTGGAGCAGTTTATTCGAGTGTTCTTCTATAATTACAAATATTTTTTCTAATCTTTATTAACAACAGTTCGTTCTTCAACGTTTTGTACTTTTTTTTCTAGTTTTGCGTAGTTACCCACATTTTGCATCATAAAAATTTTCTAGACCGCTAAATTCTTGTCACAATACTATTCTACTTGAATGAAGCCAAGTAAAATGCAAATTTCTCTTCTTATTCTCTAGAGTAATTGATTGGAAATATTCATATTTCATTTTGACACATCATTTTAAAAAGTTACAGAGTTTGCGAAATCAATAACATGTTTGGAATAATTAGAGACAAGTACGTAGTATGGTAGAAAGATTAATAATGAATCCATACCAGTCATCGTAAATATTTCTTCAAATAAAAGATAAAACATATAAGAATTTGATTTATTTTCTTGATAGTAACCAAGATTTCAATCATTTTTAATAAAGAAAGACAGACAGATCCCAATGTTCATCAAAATAGAGTAGAGTTTTAGTGCTATTAGTTAGAGTCAATATGACTATGAGAAAATTATGTATGTTTGACATGAAACTCGAGTGCAATTATGGAGCTCAGATATTCATCTATTGAATTATTCAGCTAAAGTATTTAAATATTAAACTATTTTCGGAAACACAGACATGATCTTTCTATCAAAATAGCTGAACTGAATAAGCGAATAGTTTAAATATCGGATAATGTCTTCAACAATTGAATTCAAGTTTGACACTATTGATATTTGTACAGTAGTACAATCTTTTTTTCATGTCACTTTCAATAATCAATATTCTTTCCAAATTTTTGTTCTTCTTGAGTATTAGTCAAAATTCTTTTTTCATATACTTTCGCACAAGATTCTTATCTGAAAAAAGACAGATCGTGACTGAAGCCAGGATTATCTTTTCAGACAAAATTTTTGTGGTCTTCAATTACTTGTCTAATTTTGATGATTTAAATGTTGCCTCCATTATATGTCAAAAAGACTATATTTTGTCGCTTTTGTATTCTTACTTCAAGATGATATTAACAAAATACATGAGAAACAAGCAAATCATAATTGCTACAAAAGTACGCCAAATTTCCTGTAACTACAGATGAAATACAAAAAGAACAATAGAAAACCATTTACAATAATAAAACAAAAAAAAACCAATTAGTCATAGTTATGTTATCAATCTAAGATGTACTATGGACAAGAAAATAGAAGAAACAATCAATAAAAGTAATTTATTTATGTTAAAAAGTTTATACCTTTTATTATGATTCGTCTTCTTCATATTCATCACTTTGAATCAATAATGGTTCATCTATCGTCTATGACCTTTGTTTTGAGCATTTCTTCTTGGAAGCTTTCTAAACCTCTCATATCTAATATGTGCATTTAGTTGACGTTGACATGCAACTCATACATTATGCAAATAGAATGAGTTTTGTTCCTGAAATTGAACATAAGAGCTATTAACTGTCGTTTGCATGCATGTATTTATAGACATTATGTGATATTTTTCTTGAAAGTCAGACAAGAATTTTATTTGAACTTAGCAAAATTTCCATGATCTTATAATTCTTTTCTAATTATTATTTTCTTGATCTATCAGACAGTATTCCTTTCATCTTGAACTTCGAACAAAAGTATTTTTTTCTTGCCTGTCAAAATGAATTCTGTCTGAACTACAAGATAAAAATGAATCTTAACTATAGCTGGTAACAAAAACGAGACTCTAGAAAAAGTATATTTAAAATGTCGATTACTGCTTCTTTTTTGTTTAACTTCCTTGATTCTGAGAAACCCCTCATCTGTCTACTTATTATTAAATACGATGGCAGCTAATAATTAATCAAAAATCTTAGAGAATTAACTCATATACATAAATATTAAATAAAAAAATTACTTTATTTTACTTTAAAATTTTTTGTATTCTTTTCTTCAGCTTTTAATATATAGTAAGTCATTTTCTATCTTATAATGATAGAAGGTAATATGTCTTAATAAACGCTTGAGAAAATTAACTTTCGTTACTAATAGTTTTCTATAGATCAACGCATCAAAGTTTTCTGTTTGACTGAATTCTTCAAGAAGAGAACAAAAAGGTTTTGTTGACGAAGTAAAAATGCATGGTATGCTTTTTCTTTTTGTCATCGTTATGATTATAATACATTCTATGTGTCGATAAAAAAAGGTTTTCAGGCACTAAAATTATTAATCAAGTTCTGTTTGTCAGATGAAATAGAAATGCATAATTATGAAGTAAAAATAGCAGTCTTTAGATTATAAAATACGTTTATGTCAAAGATAATCTAATAGAAGAAACACATCTGTTTTTTTTTTAAGTAGTTATGATGTTCTATGATTAGTAGGGTCGATAAAACAATGTTAGGTCATGCAATCCATTTTCGAAGTATAGAAACTTTAGTAAGCCTTTCAAATTAAAATCTCACAGAGCTGTTCTATTGTAAAATGCATCTTAATGAATTTAGTTGTTTCATGTGATCAAACTAAAGAAGGAGAATGTTCATGAGAACAATCTTTTTCAAAGAATCTTTGTCTTTTCTAATTTTGTCAAGAGTACATGGATGTACTTTTCTGACATTACAATCATGTCAAGTTCTCAATAATTCGAGCGGAAGTTTTCTTAGAAAAAGTACATACTTCATCCTTCTTGAAGTATTTAGCATCAAAACTGAATGCGATTTTTTCTCTCTGAAAATTAACTTTTTTTTGTACTCAAAAATTCATATCGGGTTCTACAGAAGAATTTATTACTGAAAGGTTCAAGACAAACAATCGTTCAAGATAAAAGATTAGATCGATTTCTATTTGAAAATTTGATCTTTAAATTTTTTTGTTTTTATTTATAAAAACCAAACTTTTAGTTTTAAAAATATCTTCAACAGTAAGAAAGTATTTAAATCTACATAACAACTACAATAATCGAGAAGCTTGTGTGGAAAAACAGAATGAATTTCGCTATTCCAGGTATTCTGTAATCGTATATAAGACGCAACACACAAAGCTTTGAAAAAGCTATTGTTTTGAAATATTTAAATTTATCTCAATTAAGATAATTAGATATTTATTTTGATTGTTTATGTTTGTATGAATAATATAATTAACGTCTCGTATACAAGAAGCGCATAACCATTAGGCATCAAAAAATTCTAATTGGTTATTCAGCTCACACATGAGAACATGTAGAAATTCTAGAAGTTCTTCTTTTTTTCATATTTGACTTGTACTGATAATGGGCCTTAGCATTCTTTTACAATACTCATTCTTTTTTTATCAAAATGTAAAAAGCTATCTATGTAGATTTTAATTTCAGATTTTTCAAAAGTATCGAAAGAATGTTAAATAATACATTAGATCACAACTTAACATCATTTCGTAGTACTATTATTTTAGTTGCTATTTTTTTCGGTAGTATTGCGATTATGCTTAATTTTATTATTATTATTTATTTAATTCGTCATGGTAAATTTGCAAAGTATTCTAAAAAACAACGTAGTCGTCGTGTTGGACTTCTTCATTCAATTAATACATATATTCATCTCATTGGATTATTAGCAACACTTGTAATAATGTGTATTAGAACATTGTATGGTGATTTATATCAAGAAAAACGAGGTGAAAATTTTATTTCATGGCATTGCCATTTTTTAGGATATTTAATGTCACTATTTGGAGCAGGTGTTTATGGTTCATGTTTTTTACAAGCACTTTATCGTTTTTGGAGAATTATTACACCAAATCGAGATCTTTTTCAAAATCTATGTTTTCACATACACTTAATCCTGGTTCATTGGATATTTATTATAACTTTATTAATACCTATTCTATCTCGTTCTGTTTATATATCATCTGATCATTTTTGTTTAAGTCCATTTAATGATCGATGGACAGCAGCATATATTTCATTGATAACAGCTGTAATTCCTGTTACTGGAATATTTATACTTTATATAAAAATTGTAATTCATATGAAACATAATTTACAAACTAAAAAACAATGGAGACGTATGAAACGTGATATTTCAACCATAAGAAGAATTCTTTTATTAGTTCTTATTATATTACAAACAAGTAGTACAGGAATTATACTTTGGATTTTAACATTTTTTTATAAAAGTTTTCATCCACTTTTTTATCGACTACTTCGATTTTTAATGATATTATGTATGCTTATATGTAGTATTACTTTATTGATGGTTTCTCCAGAATTAAAACGAGCATTTCAATCAAGTAGTCATAAACAATTAAAGAAACGTTATTATACATCAAAAAAACAAACGTCTTTGAATAATACTAACGAAATAACACAAATACAAAACATACCTCGTTCATAAAAACTATTTGTTTTCTTTTTTTTTTTATAAATAAATATCATCAATTAAAGTATATTTTCAGATAATTAAGGATGTTGTTTTTGATCTTTTTGTTATTTGAAAAATATATTAAAAAAGTCTTTTTTTTTTCTTAACAATGTTATTAAATTTATATTCGAAATCAAAGTACGAGAACATATGGTTAAAACGTTTTGAAAGACTATTCGAAAGCATTGAGCTACATATTATTAGAATTCAGTACATAAAAAAGATTGAGTCAAATTATTAGAAAATTATAATACTATTTAGAATAGATAATTTGTTACAAACAATTAATTAATATTTTTTTTTTGATTTCTATACGTCATTGTATGTATTTTTTTTTCTCTTTAATTCCTTGGGATGCCTGAATTATATAATTGTTGACGTCGTTCGGCATGAACATTTTTTTATATGTTGCTAGTTAAGGTAAAATAATGAGTTCATGACTTTATTCTATTTCTCACAGATGATCATGAATAAACTAATTTCAAGGAAGTTATATGAATGCGCTTTTGTATTAATCTACAAATTATAGTACAAATGGATGTTACTTTATAAATAGAAAAGAACATCATTTAAAGACTTTGTTAGACGTCATTTTCTGAAGAAGTTGATTTCAAACTAAAAAAAAAAAAGAATCTTTTTTAAGCTCATGATTGTGCTTCCTTGAAAAATAGTTTTTCCTACTACAATATCATACAAATTATTCAATACTAGGTTATTTTTTATTCAAGAATTATTCATCAGAATGATTTTCTTTGTTAAATAATGAAAATTTTATTCTAGTTTATTTTCATCAATCGTTCCACGAAATACATAAAAAGTAAAATTTAATTGTAATCAGACTGATAATTAGCACTGACGTTTTTTTGTAAAAGTTGACTGTTGACAATGGTGATAACAAATTATAAGAATTATAACTATCAACTATATTTATAGGCTTCATATAGCTATAATTCGATTCATTTCTTTTTAGTTTTTGAGTGGATTCAGTGCAAGTTATCTCGTCTCCTTTCCTAAAGAAAGAATGAAAATTACGATAAAAACATGAGAAGATACCTTGAGTTCTGTACTTTCAGAACTAAAATGATTTTTAAAATTAGCATGTCATTTTTTAGTGATTTTTGTAATTCTTGCATAGAAAATAAGATCTTTTTCTTAGAAAAAAAAATATATATATTTTCAGTTGTTTGTTTTGAAAATAAACATTTTAAGGATATGTAGATGTACTTTGATGAATTCCATTTATGGCTCGTAAAAAAAACAAAAGCACATCCAATGATAATGAGAAACAAGAAAAAAAAAGAACAAAACAAAGGAAAATATCGAAAAATAATGGGATCTATGGTGATCGACATGTGTCATGACAATTTACTATTTTTTACGATAGGTTTGTCTTGTCTCTCTGATGACAGCTAGAAGACTAATGTGGAAACTTCTTCAGATATTTCCTGCTCAATGCAATGATTTGTTTCCTATAGCTACTGTATAATTTTCTAATTAAAAAAATACGAGTTTTCCGGAAAACATCGAAGCTCTAGAAAGAAATGCGATAGATTAGTCAAATTTTTATAGAAACTCAAATCTTTTTAGAGTTTTTTTTATTAAACTTATAAGAAAACAAAACTATTTAATTAATGAAGTGTAACATGTTGCAATAAATTTTTCTTTAAAGAAGATTCAAACATATTTAGTGTAGTTGGCGATTATTTTATTCAAATCGACCAACAAAAAAAGATCTAAAATGCTCAAATATCATAGAATTAATCTTAAAAAAAATGTTTTTCATTTTTTCTCTATTTACGCTGTTCTGATCGCACATAGCCCCGATTTGTTTATAAGCCCTCATGCTACATATTTAATTTTGTTTTGTTTGAAAAATTATGACAAACTGCAGAGCATGGCAGTCTACTTTTTAAATTAAATTTTTTTTACTATTTACACATACACTTAAGTAACCAGGTCCTCATTTTTAAAGAGCTTCTTTCAAATTCTTAACTTGTCAATCTTTTTTATCACATTAACAGTAAGAAATTAAAAAAAAGCCAGGACTGTTTCAAACAAACAAAAAAAATACTTAAATATATAGAATAAAGATCAACAGAATATGTTAGATTGTCAAATGAGATATTTCAGACCTTTACTTGATGATTATATCTCTCACACATCATGTAGTTAAAATATTGAATCACTTTAATTTAATTGACATGTTTGATAGAATAAAATGAAAAAGAAATATATTTTATTGTTCTTGACTTGGTGTGGATGTTAGTACTTTTTATTTTATGCCTTCGTATGATTACAGAAAGTGGAGTCTAAGCCTTAGTTTTGAATCTAATCTTGCTTTTTACAATTTATTAAAGAAAATTAAGTTTGATAAGTTCGATGACACAAAAGTAGTACCCAGACAGGGTATAGAAACGCTAAATTCCAACTAATGAGTTAGATGACGATACCATTTTGACACTTTGAATATTGTTTTTTTACTTTAAATTTAATTTGCATGAATATATAATGTTCTCTGGCTGTTTTTTTTCATATATTTATTTGCAAGTTACATTTTCTCATGTTTACTAGTCGACTCTAAATGAAACAACGTATTCATTGCAATGCAACAGTAAGATTCTTTTCTAGATTAACACCTACAAAGAAAACATAAAAATTACAATTATTTTTATTGAACCTATAATTATCACTCATAAATACTTCCAAATAAAAACTATGTCCTTGAAAATTTGATAATAGACTAAGTCGGTCAAACATTTTAACTTTTGAACATAGCTATAATCTTGACTTTGTTCAGAGAGAGTTCGATATGTAGGAAGCCTTTGTCTTATCATAAAAAAGACACAATGGATGTATCTTCTATTCTTTTTGATTTGGTTATCTTAATCCCTATATTCTTTCGTGTCTCTTCTCCATTTGTCGATACAATAAAGAGAAAGAACAAGAATAGCATAATACTATCTGTACCAGTTGATATAGATAGTGATCAATGTATAAAAATAAACAACACATAGTCTGCTATAGTTATTTCGTGTTTAAATAAAATATACACGATTATACTGACAGAGAATATTATGTAAATTTCCTCACAATAAATCCTACAGATTGTTACTATTTTAGAAAATAAGAAATAGGATAGAGTAGTTTTAGTTTTAAATATACTATTCTTAGATGTTCATACTCTACAGATCATTATTGGTCATACAACGAAAAATATATTGTATTACACATATGTTCGTGCTTGAAATATAAATACGAGAAAATATAACGGGCGTATGAATGCATAAAAAAATAGTTCGAAAACTATTTATAAATAGTAATTTTTTAAAGTAAAAACCAATGACATACATGTAATGGATTTTTCCGAGTAAATAGGTCTGTCAGTATTTCATCAATATTATAGTCAATGTTCATGACTTCGACTGCTTGTGCCATTCTTTATACATGAATAGAAAACATTTTAGTATAAAAACTAGCAGCCAATTATTTTACGCTAATGAATGCACAGCACTGTAGTGATGGATTTTGTAAGAGCATGTTCTTTCAACAGTTAGTTCTATTTTGTCTCGGACTAGATAAGTATCTAATCACACTCGTCTTATGTTTCCTATGTTTTCAAGTGTACTTCGTCTCGCCATCTTTAGTTACAGTTCTTTGAAAAACAGAGTAATGCACACATGCAGATATTTCATACAAAACATCATAACATTGCTGTAATTCGTACTCTTATCTAACACTTTTTCACGGAATTTAAATTTCATACTAAATTATTGTCTAATCTTGCCAAGCAATCATTATGTTTGAAATAACGACAGTATTAAAACTCAATAAAGTTAGTATAGCACGTGAAAATAAGAGTTTTGCAAAGTGATGGGAATTTTGTTTTACTAAAATAGTGGAAATTTTTATACAAGAAAACGACTGATTACACAACAAATGAAATTTGATGTAATACTCAGAAACAAATTTTCCAGATCCTTCTAAATGAATGATTAGATTTGTTCTTACATTGAACATCTCACAGTTTTTATATTGAAATGTCGTCAATACCTCTGTAAAGAAGAAATTGATAAAATGTTGAGTTGGATCCATTTATTCTGTCAAACACATGAATTAAATTAAAGTGATTTTTCATTTCAACTTAATTGAATCTACTAAAAAGAATCAAGAAATTAATCGAATGAATACGGTTGATATTTGATATTACAATCGATGGTTATAACTTAATTAACTGTTTTTAACCGAAGATTTGATCAATTATAAATCAAATGTTATAACTCAATCAGTTTTAACTTCTACACGAGAAATAATTAAAAAAATATTTCGACTTATACAAAAGATTTTCTAACATAAAAATCTATTTTTCTAGGTAACATGCCAAATATTTCTTCTCTATAGTAAACCCATCATTTTCAATGTCTGATATTTAATTCTTAATGACATTTGAAGTTCTTTTTTTAGAACATATATCTCATATAATGATAAAACCTGATTAGTCTATTTAAAAAATCTTTTTCTTCTCGCATAATGAATAATTAATCAGTACACATATAAGTGTCGTCAAGAAGAATTATTTATGGATGTTATAATTTAAAAAAGCAGACAAAATTGTGTAAACAAGTGGTGAAATCTAGAAATCGACTCAGAATATTTTTTTCTTTTTATTTATTTTGATATAACCTATTCCTATAATATTCACTTAATGGATTCATAAATAGCAACATTCATATTGTATGTAAAAAATTTCATTACGTTGCTTATTTATCTAAAATATTTCAAATGTATATATCTTTTTAACCCATAAGCTACATTTTTCTAAAAAAAACATGAAAAAGAGTTTATTATGATTAGTGTCAGTAATCAAATCAGAATTACTCAAAAATAATAATAGATTAAATCATACTTGAAACTGTAGTACTCATGTTTTATTATCAGAAAAAAAAAGAACATCGAACTTTTATTTTGAATACTTG